ATATATATCCTTATTGGCATTTTTCTTAGAGGTTACTTGGGAACACTGCTATTTCAAAACTCTTTTTTGTTTCCTTCAGGCGGTCACTGCTCCCTCAGGGGCTTTCATCATGGGAGGAACTTATGAAAGAAATTTATAAAAGATGAGGTCTAATCTAAATCAGATCTCAGCTCAACGAGAGAGGCCCTGTAACAAATTTCACACTTCTGAAACCATTTGGCGTAGGTCATGAGACCCAGAAATATTGTAAGGCTCTTTTTGGAGACAGACGGCCAGATGGCCAGGTATGTACCTGATGTGTTACCATAAAATGTCATTGCTCTGTGGGATCCTTTTGCATCTGAGACCCAACAAATGATTAAAAATGGATTGCACACTGAGGTCTCTTTATTAAGCTATATATGTATGTAAAATGAAGTTTTCTTCATTTCATAGCTGGTAAAACATGTTATTTTGGTCTCCTCTTTTGTCCCTCCCACCTACAAGTAGTAGAGAAGAGGTGATTATGGATGATGTGGTGACAGGGGGAGAATAAAACGTTCCCCCAGTTAATAATTTAGAGAAACTTCAGACCTCTCTGAGTACAGTCACGGATCTAAAAATTTTCCTATTATAAAAAGAAAAGTAAATGTGCCTGTATAAGTAGATAACACACGCATACAGAGGATTTAGCTTGTGTTTTCCCCTCTTCTTCCTAGGGAAGGCCTTTCTATAGGAAGAAGAGGTTGGCATCTCACAGTTGCCTCTGATAGTAATTAACACAGATGGTAACCCCTGGAAACCTGTGCATGTATAATGACAAGCCCTGCTTGCTAAGCAGATCCTCCCCACGGCCTCGCATGGCTTGCACCACCTCCCTTTTGCTGGGTACTCAAGCCTCTTCTCCCTTTCAATTCCATGCCGTGTCCAACCACTTCCCCCCAGTTTGGTCTCATACTTTCATGACTTGGGTCTATAATGCCATGTATTCTTTTTCCTATAATCACCTGTTATCAGCGTATTTTATAGACTAACATAATCAGCTCCTCAGAGTAAATTTTAATTCCCTTTCATGATTAAGGGGTGCATTATGGCTTATTTCTAGATGTCCTCCCCCAGACCTCAGGCAGTCGTGGGTGGGGTTTTTCAGAGGTGGCTGGATCTACGGTGTACAGTACTGAGATTAAGGGAGTGTGATTGCTAAATTAGTCCACTGATTGGTTTAGCAAGTTGTGGGTGTGGATAATGGGAAGGCCCACCCTGGGTGTGGTTTGCCCCCCCAGAAGACAGGAAGCCAATAGAGAATAAAAGGGGAAAGGGGCCCTGCTGCTTCTTCTTGCTGCTGCTGCCATCGCTTGCTACTTACTGCCTTCTGTCTGCCCTCACATGCCACAGTGTTGTGGCTTGTGTTGGACCCACACACGGGCGTGCACACACACACAAAGCCTCATGCGTATTTGGAAGTAGCTAAATCTAGAACATGTGACTGATTCATGGTGGGCTGAGCCCAAGAGCGCTAGGATGAAGGGTGTGAGTGCTGCCTGCCCTAAGTAGTCTGAGTAAGATGGAAGGGGCAGAGGGACGCTGTAAAGGTCCCTTGTTGCCTTTGCTGCCATAAACTTGCTTCTCTGCCACTCTGCCTTGGAGCCAGCTGATTATGGACTGAAACCTCTACAAACTGTAAGCCTCATAAGCCTTCCCTGTTTAACTTTGGGTGCCGGGTATTTTGTCTCAGCAATGAGAAAAGTAACTAAGACACATGGATTGTTTTTCTTCTGTGACGCCCCTCTGCCCTGCCACCTGGCCTTAGAGCCAGCCTACTATGGGCTGAAGCCTCTACAAACCATAAGCTAAATAAACCTTTCCTCCTTTAACTTATGATATCAGGTATTTTGTCTCAGCAATGAGAAATGTAACTAAGACAAAGGGGAAGTGGAGAAGAATGTAAGAATTTGAGACAGACTTTGAGGGAAGGATTATCAAGGAAGAGGATCCAGCTGGCCCACCCACAAGGCAAGATGCCAGTGTTTAAGAATTAGCTAGTGGACTAGGGTCTGATCGATCATTATCTCAGTCATAGCTTCATAGCTCTAGAATTTTCATGACTTGAGTATTTCTATTCTCATGAAATGATTGTGTCCAGGATACAAAATCAACACATGAAAATCAACAGCATTCCTGTACTATGAATACACTGAGAAAGTATCTAGGAAAACAATCCTATTTCCAATAGCTTAAAGAAAAAAAAATACCTAAATACATAACCTAAGCAAGGAAATGAAACATCTCTATAATGAAAAAATACAGAGTCCTAAAGAAAGCAATTGAAGAGAACATTATAAAATGGGAAGATGTCCCTTCTTGAACAGGCAAAAACA